GAAAGCTCAAGCAACAAAAGATAAAATAAATAAATGTACTGCCTACCAATTTTTAAAACAGAATTAATATACAATAAGGGAAATGTTACATTAAAAAAAAAAACTATTTCTGTACATAGGAGGGCTTTATCAACAAAGTAAATAGACAACCTATTGAGTAGGAGAATATTTTAGTGAAAGACCATGTCAATGAACCCATGTATAAATTTATCCTGCAACTATGACCACTTTGTTTATGAATCTCTTGAGCAAGGACAGGAGGGACTGAGGAAAGAGAGCAGCCTATCAACTGGTTTGTTACAATTCTCCTTTGATGAGTATCTATATGAAACACAACGTCTTCATTTATTTGGCCTATTCAGAGAAATCTATCCACAGACGTTTCCCCCTTGCCTCATGATTACCAATTTTCTAATCATGCTCCTTCAAAGTCCCTGGCCATGAGGCAAGTAACTGGTCACAGCCCAGGAATCAATATACCCTTGTGCATCTGGTCATTTGTACAGAGCAAACAAAGTAAACAACGTGGTACCCTGCTCAAAGTTCTGATTATTGAGGGGATTTCCCTTCACTACTGTCCTTCAGGGAGATCACAGAGAGGGCCGAATATTCTCCACTTTCAAGTAGTGACTGCCTCCAACGAATCATATGATACTGCTAACGAGGCCACGCGGAGAAGAAAAGGAATGGGGACCATAGGCGCTTGGGCCACTTTCTCATGTAGCTTACTTGCGTGTTCATTCAGTTCTTGCTTGCTTGAGCTGAATCTCATATATCACTTCCATTTAATGATGGAAAACTGCTTTGTACGTTGGACTTTATGACAGACAACCTCCAATTCATCACAGAAAATTCTGTATCATACAGAATTATTTGACAGTGACTGCATTGTGAAAAGTCTTTAGTAAGGCTGGGTAACAAGTCAAAAGATGTTTTCTCAAAAGGAGCATACAGTATATACTTGAGTATAAGCCAACCCGAATATCCACTAAGGCACCTAATTTTACTACAAAAACTGCATTAAAAATGTGCTGAAGACACAATCAGCACCCTACCCCTGTGTGGGTTAATGCCCTGTTCCCCCGGCTGCCCATACCGCCCCCCATCCTTTTTAATGTGCTATCATATGTATCCCATGTATATCCCTGGGTTTAGTCTGGCCCCTGCCTTATAACCTGGACCTCACCCCAGGGATGTATATATACAGTAACTTTCTCCCTATGCCCCCTTTGAATTTTTTGAGCTTATCTCAGCGGACTCATGTAGTACTTGTCCTTAACCCAGAGCTCCAAGACAAGAACGCAACACACTGACATGAAGCAGGGAACAGACAGAGAGGCCTGAGGGGTCAGCCCCATTACCAACTAAGTGGACAGCACCACCCTCCCTCCCTAGAAGAATTCACTTCAGAGGACAGCACTGAAGCTACAGCTCAAGAAGAGAGACTGTCTCGTCAGAGCACACCGAGGGGGGGTAGAGAAAAGAAAAAAAAAGAGTGAAGCACATCCTGGCTCACCAAACCCTGAGGACAATGTTCCTGCTCAGAACAGCAATGCACAGAGATGACCGCAGGGCCAGCCTCACCACAGGACACAGCGTTCCTCAATGACCCATAGCACCATTGGGGACAACAATGGAGACACACAGGGGGAATTGTGCCTGCCATGAGCTCCCAGCGCCGGGGCCAACCTTCAGGGGCATGCAGCAGAGCAGCAGGGGAAGCAGAGCAATGAAGTCTCCAGGAATAGAGGTGGTGCCAGGGCAAGGCACCCCATCAGACTCCACTGGAAAGCACCCGTAAAGGACAACAAACAGACTCTGAACTATTTCTATGTTTTTTTGTGTGTGTGTTTGTTGTTGTTGTTGTAGCTATTGTTTTACTTTCTATTGTTGCTTCGTTGTACTCAGTCTTGTGATGGTACATAGCATGTCTACCTGGAAGGGATAGGTGGGATAAACAAGCCAGAAGAGAGAACAACGGGATGACAGTTCCGGGGGTACACAGCAGTAGGGGAGGAGGGGGAAAGGAAGTGGGTGTTAACAAACACAGGCACAAGGGAATGACAAGTGATCCAAACAAAATCAGTGGCAAGGAGGGTGTAAAATATCTGGCAGGGCTGGATCAAGGGCAATGTAATGAAGAAGAATTCCTAACACCCAAATGAAGGCTGAAAATGATAGTGAGACAAGAGGAAAGTACAAAGAAATAGAGGAAAGAACTAAGAGGCAAAGAGTAGTCATAGATATTTAAATACAGGCTATAAAGACATAAACATAGTTATATATGACGAGGGGGAAATAGATCTATATACATATATTTATAGGTTGAGTATTAAGAAATTAGATAGACAATGGGCCCTGCTCAAGTACTCCTTCAACCCAAGAACACTTTGTTCTAACAATTGCTGAAGACAATTGGGTGCACAAGCAAATATGGTAAAGAAAGCTGATGGTGCCCAGCTACCAAAAGATATAACATCTGAAGTCTTAAAAGACCTGAAGATAAACAAGCAGCTATTTAGCTGAGAAACAACAAAACCCACATGGAAGAAGCACACCAGCCTACCCTGACACAAACGCTGAAGACAAAGCGGGTGCATAAGCAAATGCGGTGAAGAAAGCTGATGGTGCCAGGCTATCAAAAGATATAGAATCTTGGGTCCCATAAGCTGGAAGATAAAAAAGGGGCCATCTAACTGAGAAACAAGAAAGCCCACATGAAAGAAGCACACCAGCCTGTGAGATCGCAAGGTATCGAAGGTATCAGGTATCAGGCATCAAAGAGAAGAAAAAAAAATCATAGCATTGTGAATGAGGGGGAGTGCGGAGTGGGGACCCAGGGCCCATCTGTGGGAAATTGGACATCTCCTTGCAGAATGGCTGCGGGGAGGAGACGAGTCAGTCAGGGTACAGTGTAGCAACGATGAAATATATATACAATTTTCCTCTAGTTTTGAATGCTTCCTCACCCCCACTACCATGATCCCAATTCCACCTTACATATCTGGCTGGACCAGAGGATGTACACTGGCACAGATAGGAACTGGAAATACAGGGAGTCCAGGACAGATGAACCCCTCGAGTCCAGTGGTGAGAGTGACGATATCAGGAGGATAGAGGGAAGGTGAGGGAGAAAGGGGGAACAGATTATAAGGTCTACATATAACCTGCTCCCTGGGGGATGGACAGCGGAGAAGTGGGTGAGGGGAGACATCAGATGGTGTAAGATATGACAAAATAATAATAATTTATAAATTACCAAGGGTTCAGGGGGGAAAGGGAGTGGTGAGGGAGGGGGAAAAATGAGGAGAGGATACCAAGGGCACAAGTAGAAAGCAGGTGTTTTGAGAATGATGACAGTAACAAATGTACAAATGTGCTTGACACAATTGATGTATGCATGGATTGTGATAAGAGTTGTATGAGCCCCTAATAAAATGATTAAAAAAATGTGCTGAAAAACTCAGTTTACACTCGAGTATATACGGTACATATTTTTTTGCATATTAACATTGACACAAATGGCACATGCACACAAATATACTGCTGTGAAGTGAATGGCTTGCCACGGCTTTTCTATCCATATTCTTTGTAACTCCCACCAAATGACTGGGTAGGAGCATGTAAGAAACGTGTAGAGGACCCAAACTCAAGGACTGGTCAGTCATGATCATCAGGAAAGACTCACCACTAGAAAAGAGTAGGCACCATAAAGACTCCTGTCAGCAGGGGTGAAGGCAGCCGGGGCACCGAGGCTGCAAATCTGAGACCATGAGCCAGAAGAGAGGGGCCAAGCAGAGACCATGAGATGGAGTAGTGTACCCACAAAAAGAGTAAGATCTAATGCCTCAGGGAGGAGGCTGGCTTACAGAGTGTCGTACCCTTTGAGCATTTGTCAGAACTAATGAACGTTGTCATTTCTGTTCTCGCAGGGGAGAGGTCAAAGGGCCATGTGGCTGAAGATTGAGAACCAGAAAGAGACATAACTACCAGCATGACTAAAAAAGAGGCCCTGGCGTGGACAAAGGAGTGTATCCTTAATAATTTCTGATTGTGACATATGGTAATCTGTTAACTTTCCTAATAAACCTCATCATCATGACTACTGTGTGTGAGTTCTACGTGGCCATTGTAATGGATGATTGAATCCAATAAAAAAGTAGTGTGGGACAGAGCGTTGGTGTGAAAATAGAGCAGAGAAAGTTAGAGAGTAGAGAAATGTCTGACCTTTGCCTGTGGTGATCAGCGGTGGGCGAGTACTGTGATGCCGGCCTATAACACATACAGGAAGGTTGTGTGGTTTACAAAGAACTTTAATAGTATGTTGTTCTTTGCATACATATATGGTAGTTATCTGCTGAGGATGGCAGACCTTTATTTCAAAATTCTAAGGGTCTGTACTGTGATTCATCATAGGTCTGGACAAGACTACAAACAGTACTATTTGCCATTGACACTTCAGGATTACTAGATTAGCTAGATCGTAAGGTCTGAGTGGCAGGCAAGCTCGCATGGCAGTCTGAGCTTTTCTCATTTTCTCTTCTTCTGGGCTCTCCTCAAAAGTTGTTAAAAGACCCATTGGCATAGCCAAAGGAAGCATATGTTCCTCCCAAATCCAAAGAGGTCCACGAGACCTGCAACTCATTTATAGATTTAAGAGAGGCCAGATGGTGAGCTGCTAGCTCATCCCAAGATGCAGAGTGGGAGGCAGGTCAGAGAATGATGAGTAGGATGCAGGAAGAGAAGAGAGTACATTTTGTCAGAGCATCCATAAGTATTGGATGCAGGCCACACCACCATGGAAGCTCAGCTGATTGACTCCTTACATCAGGTCACAAAATGAGGATGATGACAAAATATGCCAAACCATTGAAAAGCATAGCCTAGCCAATTTTATATATAACATTACCACATTCTCCTTTCATAATACTCTACCTTTTGACAAAGTATAACAACAAAGGTATTAAAATCAATATTACATATGATGGAAAGTATTTTACCTTGCTTGCTATCAGGATGTCTTGTAACTTCGGGAAGATAGCAGTTTGGCAAGGGATATGATGAAAAGATTGGCCAAGGATATGGATCATAACCCTGGACACAAAGGTGAACAGATAGCTTTAATGAGCAATTTAAAATATTATTTTGTTTTTAAACTTTATGAGTTATCATTAATTTATATTGACTTTTTCCCTCATAACTTTCAGTGAAGTTATCTACCTAACTGGATAAGCTATTTGATAATCAACAACTAATTATTCTAACAGACAATAAGTCAAATGAAGAAGAGCAGGGACAGCAATGATGACAGACATCTGGTAACTTGTCCGGACAGCTACAACTGACAATGATTTTATAATTTTTTTCATGAAAGGAAAATTATAGCCTTCAAAATAGATCATGCATTTGCAAGTTTGTTCACCAAAGTGTGCCTCTTGTGCTGTCGATCATTTCTCTCTCACCCTTCCCAGGGTGACAGGCAAAGAAAACATCACTCAACACCACCAACAACAATACACCTTCTGAGAAAACCAAACTCCATGAATATTGATGGAAGCACAGGTACTCCGTATTGTCACAGAAATACAAAGAGAATAAAGTTATCTAATAAAAGTTACCTTTCATAAGACTGAGGGACATTAAAGGTAAAATCGTAAAGACACACAGAAAGAATGACAACTTTTTTAATAAAACAGCACACACCCACCTCGGACTCCATAAAGCAGCGCTCGTGACTCCCATGCATCAAGGATGCTATTTTAGTTTGAAAGGGTTCACTTGCATCCTAAAGTTTTCAGGTAGCAAAAGTTCAACTCTATGATGCAGAATGAGAAAGTCGATGCTGTTACGTGTCACCAGAGTTGGCTGCCTTGCTTCTAAATATGTCATGAACACATTCCATGCTCCATCTCCATCTCACTCACCTGTTCTAGTGTTCTTGGAGGCAAAATCCGTTCTAATGGCCCACCAATAAGATGTATCCTAACAAGAATGTGATTCCTTTCTACTGACAAGCCATCAATTATGAAGTCTCTGAAATGTAAATACGTCATTGTTGTTATTGCCTAATGGAATATGGCTTATTTTTATCATAAAGAAACTGAAATGTAAAAGGAAAATAAAGCACAAAATTCACTTTTGATAAACAGATCATCAAAGTAACATATTCAAACAAATGACTAAATTTACTTTTTATCTTTGAAAGTAAGCCACTGATAGAGATATTATTTATATAATGAAATTGAGAAAATAATATTTACTGAGAAATGTTAGTATATTTAAATGAGAAATAGAACTAAGATACACATAACTTCTACAGTGACTTTAACAATTAAGTTTTAGTCGATTTTCATTAAATTCTAGTTCATGCCTTAAATACAATAGAAATATTAGTTTTGAACAGCCCCCATAATTCTTATGATCCTTTAAGCTTTTAAACTCAGATTATAATAGAGCATACTTTTTTGTTGTTTTGGGTTTTTTTCCTAATTACAGACACAAACTCAGTATGAGCAATTGACTAAGTACATACAATAAATGTCAGCCAAGTTGAGGTAGTGGCAGATGTGAGTTATTAATAGAAAAAAAATTGTCATCATTTGGCAAATAAACACCATTTATGATTATAAACTAACCTAATTAAGAAAATGAAATAGAGAGGGTCTTTAGCAGGAACACAAAATTAAATACTTTGTTCAATGAGTCATCCTACACAAGCAACCTAGATTTAAATATAATACAATTTTAAAGAATGAAAACATCAAGTGTAGAAAGTGCTGCCCAAACACAGCAGTCCTCTTCAAAAGAATAGATCATAGTCTTCCTAACTAGGGCATTTACTCTTTGATTGCTTTTTACTCTTATGACTTAAACATATTCATTTTAAGAACAATACTAAAAATCACTTCCTTAAAAAAGCATCTGCTAAAACAAAGTTGTTTTTTATTTTTGTATTTAATGGATCTTTTTTTACCTGCAGTTTTCAGACGTCTCTAAAATATTTTCTTCTTGTGCAGTTAGTAACATTTCAGATACTTGATATTGAGCCTCTAGTAAGAGAAGTGTGTCCAGAGAACAACATATCACATTTAATAGCCTATTTAAAAAAAAATGAGAACAGTTTACAAAATGTTTTAAAAATTTATAAGACTTCTTAATGCTCCAAGTAATATCTATACATCAAAACACAAAATTTATGTGAAAGAGCATTTTCATTATCTTTTAATTTCATTTTTTTACAACCTAGGTGAAGTGCCCCCATAAACAGTTGGCCTTGCAAATACTTAAGTCCCACATCCATGGATTCAACCAACCACAGATAGAAGATATTGAAGAGAAAAAAAAGGAGGGAAGGGAGGGAGGGAGGGAAGGAGGAAAGAAGAGCTTGTGTAGTCAAGGTAATATCTCAAAGAGAGCTCAAATATAGTATTATAAGTAATCTAGAGATGACTTAAAGGAAGGACCCATGGTGGCATAGGGGTTATGTACTGGGCTGCAATCCCCACGGTCTGTAGTTTGAAACTACCAGGTGCTCTGCAGGAGAAAGATGGGGCTTTCTAGTCCTGTAAACAGTTTCAGTGTCGTAAGTTCACAGGTTCTACCCTGCCCTACAGTATCTCTAAGAGTCAACCTCGACTTAATAGCAGTGGGTAGAGACTATTTAAAGAATACAAGAGGATATAAGTAGGTAATATGCAAATACTACATCATTTTATATAAAGGGCTTGAGCATTCTTCGATTTTGATATTGAGAGCAAGGAGTGTCCTGAAACTAATCCACCATGTACACAAAAAATAGACTGTGTGTATGTATATGTTTGTAGATAGATAGATACATAGATGATAGATAGATAGATGACAGAAATTGACATATATAGATGACAGATGTATTTATTACTGAAAAAACATGACAGAGACATTAGCCAATTCAGCACTTCACATGTATACAATTTACCATTAATTAATCATATTGTGCAAACTCCACCAACAATCATTGCCAAATTTTCTTTCTAAACAGAAACTCATTGCTTCCAAACAATGACTCCACTTTTCATCCTCACGCAAATTTTTAACTATTTTAAGTAGAAATCTGCCATCCAAAATATGTTGCTATTGAAATGTTATTTAAAAGGTGATTGGTAATTTCTCATCTTATTTTTAAAATTTCATCAAAATCTAACTTAAAAACGAATAGCAAATTTCCTTCTTAATGAGCACTCAATTAACTTAGGTATTCATCAGAGAATATTAGCAAGTAACAAAAATCTGCAAAGCGATATAACTTTTGATGGGCAGGAATTCCTTTGTCACTCTGCCTCACAGTCTCCAAGCTGCACCTGTTATGTCCCGTGGTTTCCTTGCCTCGGCCTCCAGTCTCGGCCTGGCTCCTTCGGTCTGCCCCACAGTCTCTGGTGTCTCTAGTCTCAGCCTCGGGCACTTCAGACACAGATCTCAAACATGGCCTTCTTCTGAGGGTCCTCGGGTTTCTCTCTGTGCTTCCCAGAGGACTCTGATACACATAGCAGTGGCTTTGATGCGAGTGGGGTTTTTGTTTTTCAGCAGACCATGTGCCCAAGGAATCAAAGGGTGTGACTTGCTTAAGGTCAAGTCTTGTTGTTGTTGTTGTTGTTAGGCACCATCGAGTTGGTTCCAACCCATAGCAAACTTATGCACAACAGAACGAAACACTGCACGGTCGGGCACCATCCTCACAGTTGTTCCTGTGCTTGAACTCCTTGTTGCAGCCATGGTGTCAATCCATTTCCCTGAGGGCCTTTCTCTCCTCCACTGCCCCTCTATTTTACCAAACATGATGTTTTTCCCCGGGGACTGGTTTCTTCTGGCAATGTGTCCAAAGTATGTAAGATAACGTCTCACTATCCTGGCCCCTAAGGAGCACTCTGGCTATACCACTTCCAAGACAGATCGGTTTGTCCGTTTAGAAATCCATGATACTTTCAGCACCACAATTCAAATGCTTCTATTCTTCACTGGTTTTCTTTATTCGATGTCCACCTTCCACATGCATATGAGGCAAATGAAAACACCATGGCTTGAATCAGGTGCATCACAGTCCTCAAAGTAACCTCCTTGATCTTCAATATTCTAAAGAGACCTTACACAGCAAATTTACCTGATACAACATGTCTTTTAAGTACTGTTTCCATGAGCACTGATTTTGGACCCAAGCAAGACAAAATCCTTGACAACTTCAATCTTTTCTCCATTTATCATGATGTTGCCTACTGGTTCAGTTGAGAAGTCAAGTCTTCATTCCACCTTAATCCTGGTCTATTAGCATAGTGGAGGATTTCCTCCAAAAACAGGATTATAGTCATACGTAGAGAGTATATAATATTTCACATAAGGAATTATGGTTAGGCAGGCCATACTCATTGACTACATCATCTTACCCACTCAATTGAAGACCTTCTAAAGTGAACCCATCCATAGCATTGGCAGTATTATTGAGGCACCAGCTCATTCTTCTGATATCAGGGTGGTTGGTGGAAGCTAAGATTTCATGGTTCATAAATCTACTTAACTAATTGTTTCTATATGTGTTAAATTGTCTTCACTCTTTTTGCTCAAGCTGAAAAGAGAGCAGTAGTAGCCCCTTAGATGGCTACTCACAATGCCAGTAGGAATTTGGTCTTTGTGGATTATATGTCAATTGCACTTGACATCACCTGCAGATAGGGTCCTGAACCCCTAGACCAAACAATGTATTCCAAGGTGTTTGCTTATAACTTGGAAATTTTAATAATTTTGCTTCTTGTGTGTTCTAGTATATTCATGAATATATTTACTGTACATGTAAATCAATATGTAGAAATAACTTCTGTTCTTCCCATACCTTCTCAGCTTGCTTGACTTTGTAGGTATCCACTCAGAGAGAATTGCAGAATTGTGTATATAATAGTATTTAATAGCATTTCCCTTTGCTGCCTTTAGCCTTTGTGCTCCTCTCAGTGTTTTTCCCTGCCTCCATCATTTTTTGTCAACATCTCAGTGACTATATATTGCCTTCCTGACCTTCACCCCAGTTGACACTTGTCTCTCCTCCAATCAGTGATCTGTGCTTCTTTCCCCTCATACCCACAAGAACCATCAAAGAATACTTCTTTTAGTGTAAAACCCTTGTGTTAAGCTTTTACAACACAGACCTTATAAAATATTTGTCATCTTGTAATTCACAAATTTCACTCAGCATAACAGCCTCCAGATGTACCCAACTTTTGAGGTATTTTGCAGATCCATCATAATTCTCTAATAATATTTAATACTCCATTGTGTGCATGTGCACAAGTTTATTTATTAATTCGTTAATCGGCACTTAGGTTTTTTCCATCTTTTTGTTGGAATAGAAATAAAACAGTAGTGATGTGTTGATGCCAACTTTTCCTAATTGGAAGAAGTCTGACATGTCCTTCATCTCTTGTGATCTGTGAGATTGGCAAGATCTTTGCTTTCTCTTATAACTAAGTACAGCAAAGGAGATAGATTGAGTGTGATTATATGTACATAATTAGATGATTATTGTGGCAGTTACATAATCTATCAACTTGAGGAAGGGGTAGAGTCTGGTCTGTCAATTAGGTTGCAGCTTGAAGACCTCATTTGGAGGTGCTACGGAGATAAATAGCTCGCTGGAGGTGGGAACACACTCACTCCCTGGGAGGCATTCCTGTTGACAAGACACATGGAGATATGCTAGAGTCCTGGAGCTGGAGGAGCCAAATGGAAACCCCTGCCCGCGCTAAGATGCTTCAACTGCCACTGGATCCACAAGACTTTCCACCCACTGGCCTGTGAGCTTTCTTCCTGCATTTGGGATCATTGTATATGTTGCATGACTCTAAGGAAGAATTTATAGATTGGTAACAGGAATATGGTCTAATGTCAGATTTATGGACCTGACTTGGACTGGGTTGGGGTATTTTATTAATGTACAATTACTCTTTGATATAAAGTTCTCTCATACACATATGAGTGTCTATGAATGTGTTTCTACAGTGTACCCAGACAAACACAATTATATTATATGGGACTGGACTGCATTTCTTGCTGGAGTCTCTCTACTCTGCTAACTTTATAGAAACAAGCCACCATGCTGGGGGAAAACACCCGGTAAGAACAATGACAGCCGACAAAGCCTTCAGCTTCTGGTGATCAAGAAAAGGAGACAGACATCTAGTTCTAAAACCACAAAATTCTACCAACACTCTGACTTTAGAAGCAGAACTTTGCCTAATTGAGTTTCAAATGAGACCACACTCCCAGGTGACACCTTGATTTCAGCCTTCTAAGAATATTATTATCTCACAAGTTTCTGTCCAGGCACAAAGTAACAGGGCCCTCTGTTATCATGGAAAAAGAGGTTCCACTAACAATAGCAACAAAAAAAACGTAACACATACAATATAACAAATTTAAAAAGAAATGTACAAGACCTAACTGAAGAAAGCTATATCTGTGAGGAATGTAAAAAATTCAGTGGAGACACATCATCTAGATAAGAAAGTTAAAGGTGGTAAAGAAGTAAATTCTCCTTCAACTCATTTGTGAGTTTAATTTAAATTTACAGTAACTAATACTTTAATGAAAATTTTAAGTTTTTAAAGTAAATTTTTTATAACAGGAATAAGATGATGAGTATGTATATGTACCTTCATTATTACCACATACTTCTATTTATTGGTGCTGAATTTGGGAGCAAGGTACATGTTAATCCTCACAATAACTTTGTGAGGAAGATACATATGGAGTCTTGTTCTCGCATATAAACAGATGCAGAGATATTAAGGATCTTGCCGAAAATATCCATGGCACAGATAGGAACCTAAGTCTTATAGTTTAGCCCAGGAACCCACATTCTTAGCCATTGGGTAGTAGTTATATATTACTCTGTAATACATATGAGTATAAAGCTGCAAACTTAAATCAACAAAGGATGTATAAGGCATCAATAGAGAAAGCTATGAAAGTTTAATCAGAGTGTTTAAAGTATTTGTAATTAAATGGAAATAGATATCAGGTTGATCGATCAGAAAACATTAAAAGAGGATCAACAATGTATGCAATGTTATAAGAGCT